AGGGGCTGGGGCGGCGCACCAGCAGTGCACCATTTTGGAGCCCCAGTAAGTTGGGATGGCGCGGCGCACCAGGGACGCGCCCGGATAGTCGTTTTCCACCAGTTTTTCATCGTTTAGCCCGTTTAAGTCTTTCTAAAGTGTACTAACACTTCCTATTGATTCTAACTACTCTAAATGACTTCTAAACATCTAGAAATCATCCAGAAACATAAACATGAATCATAACCTTGAATCCATAAATTCAAATTCAAGGAAAGTTAAGAGCCAAGTCTAGGAAGTTCTTAGAGTCCTTTCAAGAAGTCTTTTGCAAATGCTTTTAACTTTGTTTTAAGACTTAAAGTTCAAGTTGAGTAAAGAGTAAAGAGTAAAGATTGAAGTTCATTTCTTCAAAGAATAATATGAGGACTATGTATTCCCAAAGAGTTTTAAAATGTTTTCATATTTAAGTAAGAACGGAAACTGAGATTTCCAAAGAGCCTTTGAGCTTGTTTTCAGAAAAGAGTAAACGCTTTCATATTAAACAAGAGGGGAAACTTTGATTTCCAAGATTGCCTTTGAGCTAAGTTTTTGAGCAATTATCTCAAATCACAGAAAGAAGTATGTTTTTAAACATAAGAGCTAGTATCATATTTTTGGGAGTAGTATTGAGCACCGATATGGGGCATACTTTTTAGATGATTCCTTTAGTGCTTTTTAGCATAGAGTAGTGGATTCACTTATTAGTTCAGGTTCTATACCCTCAGCAAGGTATAGGACGGCCCTGGGAGCGTGAGGCAAAATGATGTATCATCACAATAGCTTTTAAGTGATGGTTGTCGGTTAGAGAAACTCCCACAGAAGTAATTTTATTCTTATATACACAGTTTATTGTATTTTTACATACATTTCAGAGTATATGTATCTCTGCATACACACAGAGTTGACATCGTGATTTTAAACAACTTTTCTTTATATTGCACTTGTTTTAAACTGTTTTATATTGAAATCAGTTCAGTTATGTTGAGTTGAGTTGAGCGAGGTAAGTTCTTTAGTTTCCTTTCAAGCTTATGTCTTGTTTTAGAATTCCCCTCGCATACTCGTACATTCAATGTATTGATGTCATTTGGCTTGTACCTTATTATGATGCAGACACAGGTAACCAGGATCAACATCCAGCGCATCGTTGATCCAGTTGAGCACTCAGAGTCTTGTGGTGAGCCTCCTTGCTTCTGGAGGATCCCTTTTATTGCTTTCAGTTTTATTATTAGTTCATTAGGATGTCGTGGGTCTTGTCCCGACATCCATCTAAGTTGTTTTAGAGGCTTCATAGACAGTCAGATGTTAGTTCTTTAGTCTTTTCATTGTCATTATCTTATGTTGAGACTTGAGTTTGCCTTAATGGCCAATTGAATGTTCCTTCAAACATTCCAGTTTATTACATAGATTTATCCTTGTTGAGTTAAGTCTTCCGCTGAGTAAGTAAGACAGTCCAAGGGTTTGCTTGGGGCCAGCAATGGTTCTCGAGTGCCAGCCACGTCTGGGGTGTAGGCTCGGGGTGTGACAAACTTGGTATCATTCAACCATGTGGCCTTACTCTGTTGCTGAAGAAACCTCTCAGCCATATAGGAAGTGTACCTGTACTTGTCATGTTTAACCTTCTCCTCTTCCTGCAAAGACTTATTCAGAGGGTCAATATGAAGTTTATGTTGATCTTCTATCAATGCATCCCTATCTTCACTTGCTTCAGTAACTATGTTCCTGAAATATTGTGCATTCAGCTTCTTCAGACATGGTTTCAATAATTTTAATCTTTTCACTACTTTCCATATTTTGCATCCCTCCACGTGTGTGGTCCATACTGCTCGGCTTTTATCATTGAGTTGTGGATGTTGAGACCAAACATTACAATACTGGAATGCTCTCCTTGTTCTAATAGTATGATTCTTTAGATAAACCTTTGCAGGGCAGTGGTCACTTATACCTTCAGGTAGATAAGATGCTAAACATGAAGGCATAGTGTTCAACCAAATATAATTGTTGAACATCTAATCAATCTTTGAATAAATCATATTCCATGTACTTCTATCATTCCATGTTTACTTTTTCCCTTGATGGGGTAGTTCTATCAAGCCACTTACATCAATAGTCTTGAAATTCGGCAACTTCCATCCAAGAGACAGGGTTACCTCCCAGACTATCATCAGCGCGTAACACTAAATTAAAATCACCCAGTAATAACCATGACTCTCAACAAATAGAGCTTTGCATTTTTATTTCCATCCACATGCCTCTTATTTCCTCTCTGGTGTTGTATGCATACACAATTGACACCCCAAACGTTAGTTGAAGAGGAGTGTGACAGACCTTACAAGTCAGTATTTGGGCAGATCTTTCCACGAACTCCACCTTATAGTAATCTGGTCTCCAAACTGACCAAACTAGCAGAATTCTTCCATTATAGTGTGACTCTAAGTTGGTTAGGAATTGCCAACCTGCAAACATTTTCTTCACCACTTTCTCCATATTTTGGCTTTTCACCTTTGTTTCAACTAGCCCAATCAATCACACTTTTTCCTTATTGCAGAGGAGTAACACCTCCTTCTGCTTATTCAGGGAATTGAGCCCTCTCACATTCCAGCATAGCATGCTAACCATTCCCTACTGGGAACATGGTTTTGCCTCCCATTGTTTGTACAGATTTTGGAATTAGGGTATTTACCTCGATGGATTTGTTCAACATCTGGAACGAATTATTACTAGTGACTTGTATTTGATGTGGACTTTGGCTCCTTCTGGTCTTGAATGGTGTTACCCAACCCTCAGAAGATGGCCTCCCTTGTTCAACCTGTTGTTGTGTATGTTTTGTATGTTGTCCTCTAAGTTGTACAACCTGCACTTTTGTCTTCTCTCCAGTTTTTAAATCAGCTTGTTTATCCTCTTTAACTTCACTGCTTTGTCCAACTTGTGTAGGTGCCTTACCCTGCTTCTCATTTTCCTTTGTTACCCCTTCCTATTTGCAGGATTCTTCCTTCTACATTCATCAGTGGAGTACCCATATTTATCACAAAACCTGCAATGAGTTGGCTTCTAGTCATACACAACTTTTTGTTCTATCACCTTCCCTTTTACATTCTTGAAACACACTAGTTCTGGAAGATTGGCCCCAAACTCTACCTCAACTAGGATTCTAGCAAAATTAAGTCTCTGCTTCTTTTCAGTGTTCTGATCTGCCATCAATAGTTTCCCTATCTTGCTTAATCCTATTGGATTGCAATACTTGAAGTCCAAACCTGGGAGTTTTATCCAAATTGGAACATAATCCAATTCCTCCTTTGTGAATTCCATATCCATAGACTATGCTTTGACAATAAATGGCTTATTATTAAAATGGTAAACTCCCCCTCTTTCAACAGCTCCTTTTTTCCTTCAACTGAATCAAACCTTACTATTATGACTCCATTTTTCAGCATCGCCATCTTGTTCAACCCAAATTTTCTGGATGTATCCATTAATTACATTGAATGGAGGGTGTGCACCCAGAACATACACACCACCGCATTATTCCAATAGCTAATTTCAGACTCAATGTCTTCTAAATCAATACCGATAATCGACTCCTCACCATGTTTCTCCGGAACAATGTAGTCTAGCTTGACCAACATTGGATAGTTTAGAAATATCAAATGTGTCCCACGCTGTTCTGGCCTTTGTCATCTGCACCAGTTCCTCTTCTTCTTCATCAGCCCATGCTTTCATTCCACTTCCAGATGGAGACCCTTGTCTCGAAGGTTGTAGATGAGCGATTTCGGCCCAATGTTTTTGTGCTATTGCATGGTTTTCTTTCTCCGTATCATTAGCCTTCTGCGCCGCTAACTGAGCTACTTTCTCTACCTCTTTCTGCCGGTTTATTGTTGCACTAGATTCAGATCCAATTTCGATCTCTTCCTGGAGTTCAAGCTGTTGTGCCTTTTCCCCCTTTGCTGATTTCCTTTTGTTGCTGCTTCCTGAGCCATTAGAGCCTTCTGCGATGGAGCACGAGCTCTCTTCCCCATGGCCAACACACGTTAGTAACCTACGCCGAGAAAGAAGGACTCATCGAGAAAAACTCTTTCCCAAATTAATTTGATTCCTTTTATCCAGAAATATAATATGGTGATAGGCCAAGATGGTACTCAAAGATTGGCCTATTACAGTTTCCTCCCTATTATCTCATAAAATTTAAGTATTTGTTCAATATTTTCCAGTATGCTACTCTTAACCAGAAATTCAAATTTTATAGACGTTTATTTCCAAGAGATGCATAGATGGTAGTGGCGGAGCTAGGATTTCTAATGAGTGGGTCCAAAATTTGAAGAACTAAACACACGAACTAATCGAAGGGGGTTCAACATCTACTATATATACATAAAACATAGTTTTAACCATGTATAAATAGTAATATTTTCCGCCGAAGGGGGTTCGGATGAACCCCTCACAGAAGGTTGGCTCCGCCCCTAATAGAGGGATGGCTCTCCAAAACTGCTGCTATCTTTTAACTATCCTTTGGCTCTCTATTAATAGAAACTTTTTCCAGTTAATTTACCTAGAGGATGACTGTGAAAAGCTACTAAAATGGAAGAGACTCACACGGTCTAATTATGTCTACAAAATAATGATCATTTACACCAACACTGTCCCTGACATTCATTCCGCATAGGGCAAAGGGTTAAAAATGCCCATGAACTATGCAAAATGGGTACAATTTTGCCCTCCATTAATAGTTGGGATCATTACTGCCATCGACGTTTACTTTGTCTTATTTATTTTCTGATTTCTTTTTTTAATGATCCCGTTTGCTGAATTGGCAAATAAGCGCATATTTGAGCCACTTTGGTAACGGCAATGCTAGTGGTCATCTCAACTAGTAACAGAGGGTAAAGTTATACCTTTTCTTCAGGGACATTTTCAGCCCTTCACCCTTCCACAAATCTTACATGAATCCCGGTAGCTTCAAGCTAACATATTTAACAAGCCATTCTTACCTTGCTTTTTAGCTTGCCCTGGGTACACCGTTTGCTTGATATAGTATTAATATCAACCTGCACAATTTGGACCTGAAATGAATGACTATGCATTGAAATACAACTGACAATAGAAACTAACCTAATTTAAAGATCTTCCTCTCTATAGTGCAACATATGTATGGGAAGTAGTTCATCTTGAGAAGCTAACAAAGGCTAGTAAGAATTGATTTAAAAAATCGACGTGTAATACCTGTGTGCCTAGGGATGCTTAAAGTAGTAATTATTGAGGAAGAAATACCACAAGAAAAATAGCAGCAACTACAAGAGACAAATATGCAGATTAATCCCATCGCATAATTGGGAGTGTAGTCAGCAAAATTGCATGAATGCTGCTCCTTCACTCTAAGAAAAGAAAGCATATGGACATGGTAGGGAACATGCTAACTTTTTAGCTAGTAAGCACTTGTTTCAAAACCTACATTAGTTTGTTTAAGAGAGCATAGACGCCATGACATTCCAAAAGGCATTCAACTCATACATTATTTAAGAATAAGACAAGCAATTATGGAACAAGGAATTCAGATAGAACATAAATAGATGGAAGTCATGCCAAAATTTCTAAGGTACTACAGTAAACCAAAGAGATTAAAGAAAAGTGAAATAAAATAAATCCTACAGCCATATGTTGCCATGACAATGGTGTTTATACAATTATCATAGTAACTAATACAGCATTCTTACTTCTTTGAGAAATTCAAAGCCAAGAAACTGCACATTTCCCTGAGCAAATTTGTCCTGTGTTATATCTTGTAGACTAGGTACTTCATAGCTTCTTGGTAAGACCCCCACCAGGTAACCAACCAAAAAATGCCCCACCTCATGCTGCACAAAATGCACCTTTTAACCTACAGCTAGACTATATGAGCTCCATGATTTAAAATGTTCCAAACAAACAACGCGAAAATTAGTTGAATGAAGAAAGAGCAGTTCGAGAAAACTTACAACAACAGAGAGACTCGCCATGTACTTGATATTCAATAGTGTACACACATAGTAGCTACTAACAGAAGAATAAAAGCTTGTATGCAAATAGACATGCCTTAAATTTGTCAAATAGAATTCCATATAAAGCAAGTGTCACCACTTGCCTATGAATTGGATCATTTAAATATTGTTTTATGAACAATTACATGTTTGCCTGTGATAGCCATTTGTCTTTGTTCCTTTCATAAAAACAAAATCATCATACTATTAACAAGTCTTACTTGCAAACACATTTGATGATCTTCATAAGGGGAATTATTGGTTTCACTCCCCATAGCATCTTCCATTCCCGATAATAAGACCTACATGAATATAATCTAGCTAAGCCAAATATTTAAATAAAAAAAATTTATGGCATGTGGATTAACAAATAGAATTAAAAATAAGAAGCTGCCATACCTCCTCATCTGATATAGCAAACTTGATGCTATATTTGATTGAACACATAATTGTGTCAACTAAAGATTCAAAAGACGATGAATCAACCATAGATAGTTGTTGTGTATTGATTGCTGGTATTATTTTAGGCACCTCCATTACAGTGAACGAATCAGCATAACTATTACTCCAGCAAAGTGCTTGTAATGGCAAGTTTTGAAAAAAAAAAAAATTACCAATTTGGCAGAACCGAAGCCAAGTAGGGCTCGGGGCATGTGCTGTAATTGCTTCAACAGAGAGTTAGCAGCTTTGTAATTTCGGTTTGCTAACTCTTTATCAAACTTTCTGAGCACTCTACGTCGTCGCATTGCTTCTGAGTCCTTCTCACAAGCGAATGCCTGAATCACCGGAACTGAAACTTGTCTCACCCTCGTCAAATTCATGGAACGGTCTGCTTGGTTTTACTGCATATAACAGAAACTATTTCAATTTGCATTCATGAGATATGCACACAAACAGTTGCATTTTCTGTCCCTACCACGCGAGCTTGGAGGATGAGACACAACTAAATTAAAAAAAATTATAAAATCAATACACATTCTCCTTATCCTCTTAATTCATTTTTCTTCTTGTCTTGTTATACTCTTTCCTCTCTTTTCTTCTCATTTCCTACTTTAAAAAAGAAAAAACTATTATGAACCCAATTTTGTTGCTCTCTCAGCTTTATTTTACTTCATCCGTTAAAATTAAATATATTTTTACTTATTTCTTTTAATTAATTAATTTATTATTTTTACTAATAATATTCTTGTTGTTAATACATAGAGTACATGAAATCAAATTTAAATTTTTAAAACATAATTAAGAAAATTAATTTAATAAAATAAGCCTCTAATACAAACACAATTAAATTCATATATAAAAATAAATTTATAAAACAATAATGAAACACGTGTTATTAAATTGTACATTATATATTTAGGGATTTTGGATATAGAAAGCATTATTATTATTATTATTATTATTATTATTAGGCTTTCGGTCATAGAATTCAAAATTTGTGACATTGGAGTTTAAGATAGAGTTGTGTTTGATTGTATCTTTTGAACCAAATAATTAAAATAATATTTATTGTTAAATATACTTAAATACAACTTCAAAGTAAAGTGAATTGGAAAATAGATTATAAAATGTTTTCCAAATTTAAAATAAAACTTCAATTTTAAAAAATTATAAATTCAAATTTTCATAACCACACAATAATTCTCAGATAAAGTGAAATTATTACCAAAAAACCGTTCAAATGAATCCTAAAAATAGAAATTAAGTTGATACAGTTTAAAAGGTAAAAAAAAATATTAAAGTTTTATAAATGAAAAATAAGAGATATAACAGGCAATTTTTAAAATACAAGTAATCATTGAAAGAATCAACTCAAATTTATTTTTTTTATGTTCATACTGTCTAATTAGGGCTTGACACGTTTTTATTTTCATTTGTCATAGCAAAATTTTTATAAAAAGTTATCAAATTCAATACTCATGTATTGATCATAAAAAATAAATTCAAAATTCACGAAAAAAGAAAAGAGTAAAGAAATAAGATAATTGGGATAGAGAAAATGAAGGAGGAGATTATATACCAGGTGGGAATTAGATCATCACCAACAAGTGAGCATTTTTTTTTTAAAAAAATAACAATCAAGAAAATAGAAAAACAAATATTTTGGAAGAAGAGTTAAAAAGAAGAAAAATTAATGATGGTTGAGTAAAATTAATAAGGAAGAAGATAAAGAAGAGGATTAAGATGTATCTTCGCTACCTTGGCAAGTGGATCCCATATATGTCTGCTCAATTAATTAAATACTCTCTTCGTTCAATAATAATGGTGTATTATAGTAAAAATATTTTTAATAATACTTGTCTAATTTTAAAAATCAAGAGATTATTTATTTTTTGTGTCTATTTTACCCTTTCTATTAAATACTATTTATCATCTAACACACTTCTTAAAACATTTATATATCTATCTATATATAAAAGGAGAAGAAAAAACGCCACATGTCAGCGCCATAAATTTTCAAAATTTTAAATAATAAGTAATTAGACATTATGCAACTATTTAAATACACACTATTAAATAAAATAGACACATATCATCAACTCACACGAATGACAGATGTCAATATTTTTTAACAACAGATTTAATGCTAACTAAAATAAGATAAAAATAAGATTTATAATACTAACTAAATTTATTTATTTTAAATTATTTTTATAACTTATGACGAAATAATGAAAACGAATTGATTCATCATGTCATTTAGGAAAAAAATATTTCAAACAATAACAAAGAAGAAAGTGTTTTTGAATTGAGATAAAAAATACTATTCACTTGAGACTTTTTTTAAAAAAATTCTAGAACTCCCTTTCACTCAAGTTGTATCAATTTGTTGTAATATATACTTATTAATTAAAATAATCTCAATATAACATGCATTAATTAAAAATAGAAAGAAAAAAAAAACCTTTAATCCAAAAAAAAAAAGACAGTAAAAAATGGGAAGAACACACGTCCTTTGGCAAAAAGCACAAAATTAGTCATTATTAAATACCTAAATAATTAATTTAAAATTTAAATTTCAAAAAATAACTAACTTTATACTTAAAAATCATTTAAACCTTATAACCCACATCTTTAAAAAAATGTTATTTTTATCTTCATCACCCACACCTTCTTGAAACCAACTATTCAAAATACAATCCAAACATAGCAAACTAACATCACAACAAAAAAATGAATTGCACTCGCTAAGATCATAAAAAAATAATTGAAAGTTAGTATAAGAATGTATTGTATGTTTATATGCCCTATATTTTAATTGTTTTATCTGACATTGTTTTTGTATGAGTGAAGTAATCACTATCCTCTTCAATGCGACGATGAAGAAGAATAAACTGATGATAGAGAAATGAAGGTATTCTGAAATATTTTATGACAATGGATTATTTACGCTATCTTTGAATATTTTAAGTACATGAATTACTACTTTGATAATTGTTTTTTCCATCTCCTATTTTATTTTTTCATAATTTAGTCCTACTCTATTCATTTTTAAAGCAATTATTAAAATGTTTCCTTTTATGTGATTTTAGCATATATTGAACTCAATTGGTATTCAGATTTGGTTGCCGTTCCTCTGTTATGTTGATTTTGTATTAGTACTAGATAATGTTGCCCGTGCTATGCACGGGCCCAATAATATAAATGGTATATTTTGGGGCTAATAACTAGAGCTGGGCATAATTTGGTCGAAACCGAAAAAACCGACCGAACTGATTTTTTTTTAATTTCGGTTTCGGTTTTTCGGTTAAATCGGTCGGTTTCGGTTTTCAATTTTAAAATTTCGGTAATTCGGTTCGGTTTTCGGTTTTTAAGTTTTTTATTTCGGTTAACCGAAAAACCGAATTTATGTAATACATATTTACTACATATATATTTTTAAGAATTAGTTGTTAAGTGACATAACTAAAAGCCCAACCCAACTAAGCCCAATAGCCATTATATCCCTAAATTCTTATCCACCCTAAATTCCTAATTCACAATTCACATTTCAGTTTTCACACCAAACTAAGTTCTGCCTTCTGCGCGAGTGAAGAGTGAAGAATAGCCGCAAGTCCGCGACTATGCGAGGCGGCGAGCTCAGCCATCGACCTGAAGAGTAAGTTTCTTGGTCGCGATTCTCCATTATACTTTATACATATCAATTTGTTGTGATTCTCACTGATTTTCGTATGGGTTCTAAGTTCTCACATATTTTCTTCTTCTTTTTCGTAGATGACAGAAATCGGAAGTAAGATAAGTGAAAGTGGGGCTTCAAATGATACCATACATAATACTTCATCTCCGAATGAAGTTGAAGTTGACATTGAAGCTTCAAAGAAAAGAAAAGCCATGGAACCTAGGGCTGCTTGTTGGAAGCATTTTGAGAAATTCATCGATGAAGATGGAGCTACTAAAGCAAAATGTAATTATTGTGGAAAAACGTATGCTGCTGCTACAAAAGGTAATGCTACTTCCGCTATGAATAACCATATGACTAAAAAAAAGTGTCCTAACTTTCCCTCTACCGAAGATTATGGTCAGAAATTAATAAATTTTTTACCATCTTCAACGGGAGCAAAGGAAGGGGTGATTAGCACTTGGAAATTTGATCAAGCACAAAGTAGAAGAGCTTTAGCTCAAATGATAATTGTTGACGAGTTGCCATTTAGTATTGTTGAGAAGGAAGGTTTTAGGAATTTCATGAAAGTTACAGTGCCACAATTTCATATTCCTTCTCGTAGAACTTTGACAAGGGATTGTTATGAACTTTATAGTGAAGAAAAAAAACTCTTGAAGAAGTCTTTCAAAGAAGCACGTCCAAAAGTTTGTCTTACGACAGATACTTGGACGTCAATTCAAAGAATCAACTACTTGTGTCTAACAGCCCACTTTATAGATAGAAATTGGACTTTGCATAAACGAATTATAAATTTTTGTCCTATTTCCAGTCATAAAGGTGATGATATGGCAGCTTCCATTACTCATTGTTTGCTTGATTGGGGTTTGGATAATGTGTTTACCATAACAGTTGATAATGCTAGTTCCAATAGTGTTACTGTTAAAGAAATATCTAAGCAACTGACTAATTGGGGAACTAACATAATGGAGGGTCAGCATCTTCATGTGAGGTGTATGGCACATATTCTTAATCTTATTGTGCAAGATGGGTTGAAGGAAGTTGGTCAGTCAGTCAAGCGAGTGAGGCAAGCCGTGAAATACATTAGACAATCTCCTGCAAGAATTAAAAAATTTAAAGAATGTTGTGAATCTCAATTGATAACTTGTAAGAAATCATTATGTTTAGATGTTCCTACTAGGTGGAACTCTACATACTTGATGCTTGATACTGCACAACACTTTGAACTTGCATTTGAAAGATAGTTTTTATGATATTGGGTTTCTTGATTATCTCCGTACCCATGATTGTGAAGATGGAACTAAAGCAGGTGTCCTCACTAGTGTTGATTGGGAAAATGTGAGGTCAATGATTAAGTTTCTTGAAACTTTTTATACACTTACTTTGAAGGTCTCTGGTTCAAAGTATGTTACAAATAATGTGCACTTTGTGGAAATTGCTGAGCTTGATCTTATTTTGAAAGAGATGACAGAAAATGAAGATTCTAATTTGAAAAAAATGGCAGAAAGTATGAGAGACAAATTCAGAAAATATTGGGGAGAACCAGATAACATGAACAAAATGATTTTTATATCAGTTGTGTTGGATCCTCGAAACAAGCTTGATTATGTTCGTTTTGCAATTGGTGATATGTTTGGAAAAACAATTGGGGAGCCACTTGCTGATGCAGTGGATAAATACATGAAAGCTTTGTTTGATCATTATGTTAAGAAATCATCAAAAGTCTCTTTATTTTCATCATCTTCACCTACTTCATCTGGGAACTCATCGAGTATATCTAGTGTGAGCGGTGATGATAACTTTCAAAAAAGAGGATCAATGAGAACGAAGCTAGAATTTGTGAGGCATAAAGTAGTTAGTGGAAGTTCAAGTAGTAAATCAGAGTTGGGTAGATATCTTGCTGAAGATGTTGAGCCAGAGACTGATCATTTTGATATATTAAAGTGGTGGAAATTTAATGAGCCAAGATTTCCTATTCTTTCTGAGATGGCTCGTGATGTATTAGCCATTCCTATTTCAAGTGTCGCATCTGAATGCGCATTTAGCACAGGAGGTCGCATTCTTGATCCTTTTAGGAGTTCATTGACTCCTAAACTAGTGCAAGCTCTTATTTCTCTTCAAGATTGGTATAGAAGTGAACCAATTCCAATTAATGTTGAGGAAGATCTAGAATATCTTGAGCTACTTGAACTTGGTAAGAATTTAATATTTTGTGTTCATTATATCAAAAATAATTTCTTATTTATGTTGCTTATATCTAACAAGTTCTTTCATGTTTTTGTAGATATGGCTCATAGTGGAAATGAATCTAGTATTGTGGATGTGTAGTTATAACTATCAAGCAGTAAGTAAAATTTAATTTAAAATCTTTTTCTATTAGCATTCAACACTTGTTTTTCTCTTTTTTTCGTTGAGTTGAGTTTACTTTCTATCATATATCTAAAGAGTTCCATTTTCTCTCAGGCATATTTATAGTTTGTATGTTATTATGGTGAACTGATCGAGTTGGACTGCAGTGTTGTTGTTGGACTGCTGACTGCAGTGTTGTTGTTGGACTGCTGACTGCAGTGTTGTTGTTGGACTGCTGACTGCAGTGTTGTTGTTGGACTGCTGACTGCAGTGTTGTTGTTGGACTGCTGACTGCAGTGTTGTTGTTGGACTGCTGACTGCAGTGTTGTTGTTGGACTGCTGACTGCAGTGTTGTTGTTGGACTGCTGACTGCAGTGTTGTTGTTGGACTGCTGACTGCAGTGTTGTTGTTGGACTGCTGACTGCAGTGTTGTTGTTGGACTGCTGACTGCAGTGTTGTTGTTGGACTGCTGACTGCAGTGTTGTTGTTGGACTGCTGACTGCAGTGTTGTTGTTGGACTGCTGACTGCAGTGTTGTTGTTGGACTGCTGACTGCAGTGTTGTTGTTGGACTGCTGACTGCAGTGTTGTTGTTGGACTGCTGACTGCAGTGTTGTTGTTGGACTGCTGACTGCAGTGTTGTTGTTGGACTGCTGACTGCAGTGTTGTTGTTGGACTGCTGACTGCAGTGTTGTTGTTGGACTGCTGACTGCAGTGTTGTTGTTGGACTGCTGACTGCAGTGTTGTTGTTGGACTGCAATGAAATGCACACAAGGAATGCCAACTTTCTTCTGATAGAGTTGGACTGCAGTGTTGTTACTGATTCTTATTTTGTCTTGTTGGTTCTTGTTTTGACTACTAATTATTATTTTGTATTGTTGGACTGCTGGTTCTTGTTTTGTACTATTATTGATGTCTAATACTCTTGGTTTCTTAGCTTTTTGTTGCAATCTTGAACTTGAAGTGCCACTTTGTAATTTTGCTTTTGAATAGTAAATTAGTGATTAGTGTTTCATCATTCATGTATGTGTTAATGTCTTGATGATATTCAATTATATTCTTCCCAGTTCCCACAGGCAGTAAGCACTAGTGCAACGTGCACTTAGTTTTTGCAATTAGTATGTGTGCAAGATAGTCACTTATTAAGTGCACATCAATAATTGATTGATTGACCATACAAAGTGCACATAATTTGTAGGTAGCGTAGGTAGTACATAGTAGGTAGTGTACACTTACCTAGTAGGTAGGAAAAACATTATCTGCATAATAGTAATGTACACTTACTTTGATCAAGGATAGCATAGGTAGTACAGTAGTAGACACTGATATGTAGTGTGTATGTGTTAGTGTGTTACTGATCAGTGTTTCATGTATGTGTTGGTGATATTCGAACCGAAAAAATTAACCGAACTAAACCGAACCGAAATTGTAAAAACCGAACTGAACCGAATTTATTTCAGTTC